CCTGTTTCTATGGGAAGTCCCCTGCAGAAGTACCTCCCCCTTTATTTAGCCTGTTACCTTAAAGTAGAGCTACATCATCTCATTTATTCAGAAAAAAGGTTGAACTTCGTGTGTGAGGTACAGCTTTGTAATTCTGTATGGGATGGGACAGGAGGATGATATAAAAAAATAGAATAAACCTTCTGAGTTTTCTAAGAAATCAGATCTTTGAATAAAATGGGAAAAGTGATGTTAGTGGAGGGACCTTGGGGAACACGGAATGAGGAGGCCGGTCACATTTGAGTGGCACCTGAGCACCCCACCTGCATTTCCTGTGATTAACTCACCTGCCTGGCTGCTTGCTAGCTCCACTGGGTAGCATGTGAACTTGTGAATCCTATGAACTTGGTTTGGGCCAAGCTGTGTGCTGCAGGTGTGGAGAGCTGGGTTTGGCTCGGGTATGAGTTGCAGGTGTGCACAGGTGGATTGTTCATGGGTGTGAGTTGCAAGTGTGCAGAGCTGGGTCTGTCCTGGGTGTGAGTTGCAGGTGTGCAGAGGTGGATTGTTCATGGGTGTGAGTTGCAGGTGTGCAGAGCTGGGTCTGTCCTGGGTGTGAGTTGCAGGTGTGAAGAGGCAGATTGGTCCCAGGTGTGAATTGCAGGTGTGCAGAGATGGGTCTGTCCTGGGTGTGAGTTGCAGGTGTGCAGTGGCGGATTGGTCCTGGGTGTGAGTTGCAGGTGTGCAGAGATGGGTCTGTCCTGGGTGTGAATTGCAGGTGTGAAGAGGCAGATTGGTCCTAGGTGTGAGTTGCAGGTGTGCAGAGATGGGTCTGTCCTGGGTGTGAGTTTCAGGTGTGCAGAGGCGGATTTGTCCTGGGTGTGAGTTGCAGGTGTGCAGAGCTGGGTCTGGCCTGCGTGTGAGTTGTAGGTGTGCAGAGCTGAGTCTGTCCTGGGTGTGAGTTGCAGGTGTGCAGAGGGGATTGGTCCTGGGTGTGAGTTGCAGGTGTGCAGAGATTGGTCTGGCCTGGGTGTGAGTTGCAGGTGTGCAGAGGCGGATTGGTCCTGGGTGTGAGTTGCAGGTGTGCAGAGCTGAGTCTGTCCTGGGTGTGAGTTGCAGGTGTGCAGAGGCGGATTGGTCCTGGGTGTGAGTTGCAGGTGTGCAGAGATGGGTCTGGCCTGGGTGTGAGTTGCAGGTGTGAAGAGGCAGATTGGTCCCAGGTGTGAGCTGCAGGTGTGCAGAGCTGGGTCTGGCCTGGGTGTGAGGTGTAGGTGTGCAGAGGAGGATTGGTCCTGGGTATGAGTTGCAAGTGTGCAGAGCTGGGTCTGGCCTGGGTGTGAGTTGTAGGTGTGCAGAGGTGGATTGGTCCCAGGTGTGAGTTGCAGGTATGCAGAGCTAGGTCTAGCCTGAATGTGAGTTGTAAGTGTGCAGCGGTGGATTGGTCCAGGGTATGAGCTGCAGGTATGCAGAGGCAGATTGGTTGCAGGTGTGAGTTGCAGGTGTGCAGAGATGGGTCTGGCCCAGGTGTAAATTGCAGGTGTACAGAGGTGGATTGTTCATGGGTGTGAGTTGCAAATGTGCAGAGCTGGGTCTGGCCTGGGTGTGAGTTGCAGGTGTGCAGAGCTGGTTCTGGCCTGGGTGTGAATTGTAGGTGTGCAGAGGTGGATTGTTCATGGGTGTGAGTTGCAGGTGTGCAGAGGTGGATTTGTCCTGGGTGTGAGTTGCAGGTGTGCAGAGGTGGATTTGTCCTGGGTATGAGTTGCAGGTGTGCAGATCTGGGTCTGGCCTGGGTGTGAGTTGTAGGTGTGCAGAGGCAGATTGGTCCCAGGTGTGAGTTGCAGGTGTGCAGAGATGGGTCTGGCCTGGGTGTGAGTTGTAGGTATGCAGAGGCAGATTGGTCCCAGGTGTGAGTTGCAGGTGTGCAGAGCTGGGTTTGGCCTGGGTGTGATTTGCAGGTGTGCAGAGGTGGATTTGTCCTGGGTGTGAGTTGCAGGTGTACAGAGGTGTTTTGGTCCCAGGTGTGAGTTGCAGGTGTGCAGAGGTGGATTTATCCTGGATGTGAGTTTTGGTGTGCAGAGGTGGATTGTTCATGGGTGTGAGTTGCAGGTGTGCAGAGCTGGGTTTGGCCTGGGTGTGAGTCGCAGGTGTGCAGAGGTGGATTTGTCCTGGGTGTGAGTTGCAGGTGTACAGAGGTGTTTTGGTCCCAGGTGTGAGTTGCAGGTGTGCAGAGGTGGATTTATCCTGGATGTGAGTTTTGGTGTGCAGAGGTGGATTGTTCATGGGTGTGAGTTGCAGGTGTGCAGAGCTGGGTTTGGCCTGGGTGTGAGTCGCAGGTGTGCAGAGGTGGATTTGTCCTGGGTGTGAGTTGCAGGTGTACAGAGGTGTTTTGGTCCCAGGTGTGAGTTGCAGGTGTGCAGAGGTGGATTTATCCTGGATGTGAGTTTTGGTGTGCAGAGGTGGATTGTTCATGGGTGTGAGTTGCAGGTGTGCAGAGCTGGGTTTGGCCTGGGTGTGAGTCGCAGGTGTGCAGAGGTGGATTTGTCCTGGGTGTGAGTTGCAGATGTGCAGAGGCGTTTTGGTCCCGGGTGTGAGTTGCAGGTGTGCAGAGAAGAGTTGGCCTGGGTGTGTTAGCTGTATAGAGATGGGCTAAGGTTTTTCTTTCCCTTTTTTCTGGTTGACTTCCTTGTGTTGCTGAGCATAGTTCTGGTAGAAGGCTGGCCTAGCATGCTGACAGGCCTTGGTTTTCAACCAGCACAGTTACAACACATCCATGTTGCTCTGCTTGTAGCTTCAGGCTGCAGAGGGCTGCTGGGCCCCTCCCTGTGTGGCCCCCAGTCCTCCAGGATTGAGATCCAGGGTTTCAAGGGTGATGGAGGACACTTCCTTAAGGTCAGACCACGTGGATCATGGGTGAGGTTGACCTGACCAGTCCGGCACACCATCAGCTAGCCTTCAGGTGTCAAAGGCATGAACAGCATCAGTGGTGATGGCATGTGGTCAGCCTTCTGCAGGATCTCGTGCGATCTCAGCTGAATGTTTGGGGAGACGGCAAAGGTCGCCTTCTTCCAGTTGATGTCTTCAGAGGACGAATAGGAGTGTCTTCCTATATGCCAGTTTGGGGTAATTCCTGAAAATAGTTATGATGGCTGTGATTTTTTAATTGCTTTTTTAAGGTGCTCGGGCTGAGATAAGCACCCTAGCCACTCGGTTACCTCGGTGTTGGTTATCATCACACTGTAGATTCGTTTCATGTGACCCTGTCCCAGACTGCATGCCGCCTTTATCTTTCTGAACCTCAGTCTCCCCCTCTTTACACGGAAGGTGATGGGTGGGGTTGGAAGCTTTTCTGTCTGTGTTTTATGCTGGGCATGGACCCCAGGGCCTCCCGCGCTGGGCCAGCACTGCACCCCTGAGCTGCCCCCCTGAGCTGCCCCCCGCCCTGCCAAGCCCTTGCTCTCGCTTCTGTTCCTCTGCAGTATCCTACTGTCTGTATACAGTATCTGTGCAGCGGTTCCTTCCACCCCCTCCCTTTTCTCGTGACTTTCTGGTCACGAGCAGAGACTGCAGTTCCTTTGCTCAGCTAGATGGGGGCCCGTTTGTCACGTGGGGCAGGACAGGTGAAGTGATAGTTCCCAGTCCAGAGCAAGCTTTGTTGGAGGGTGCGGAGGGCTGCCTTCTGGGAGGTGGCTCTCCAGGGTAGGCACAGGTAGGAGGAAGAGGACAGTGGAATGGCCTCCTGCAGAGGCCTCGCGGCTGGGGTGGCCCTGCCAAGTGCTTCCTGGTGTGCGGCCTCCCGTAGCTCCCCACCACCTCCTGGTAGAACCTCTGCAGATCGTCTCCTTCTGGCCCTCCAGGGCCTGTGGGCCTGTGGGGGACCACGCCAGGACTCAGCAGGGGAGGTGGCCAGCACAGAGGAGAGCTCAGCTTGCAGAGGGTAGCAGGTGCCGGGGAATGTTAGGGTTTTGTTTGGCTTTCATCGCCATCTCTGAAATCATCCTTTGAGTCTTCACAGTATTCAAAGGTAATAATGGATTAATTGATCCAGGCATTGGTCTGATCATGTAGAAGAATTTTCAGGCTTGGGGGTGAAGCCTTCTCACGCACTGCCTTGTTTAAGGCCGGATTGACCCGTGGGCTCTGAACCCGGTGTGCTGCCTCAGAAAAGCTCATAGAGATGATTCTCTGATTTGGTTCTGACTCTGAGCAAAGCTGACTCGGGAACACGGTGCCCGCTGTGGCCTAAAGGTGCTTGCTGTTTGGCTGTTGGGTTTATTAAACGTGCTTGGTTTGAAGGCTGCTTTTTGCTTATTGACTTATTTTGGATTCTCATGGTAGGGAGCGAGCTCGCCTGCTGGCTCCTTTGTCACTGGGCTGCTTCACGGTCAGCCTCCCCCTGGGCCCTAAAGACGGGACTCCAGTCTCAAGGGCCACTGGGAGACAGATTCTCCACAGCCGCGCTCCTCCTGGAACTTTTTCACCTTGCCAGTATTTAAAAACAGTGTTTGCTGTTCATTTCCGCCCCTTCCCCTCCCTTGCCCAGCCCAGTCAATATATAAGACAGTTTCCAGGGTGCAGTTGTGAAGCAGCTCTGTCCGTCTGCAGGGCTGCTGCCTAACCCAGTCTTTCCTGGGCCATCTCCTGCATGGACAGGTCATTCGCGCCTCTGCCCGGCGGGTGGGTGCCTTGCCACACAGGAGTGTCTTTACGCAGTGAAGTCAACACTGCCTGCTGGGCTTGACCAGCCTCTCCTGCCCACCCAGAAGAGCAAGGGGGCGGGCGCCTAGCTTCCCCTTGGGGTGCTCGGGCGCGGGCTGCTTGGGTGCGTGTCCTGGGCCAGCGGGCCTGGTGTCCAGGTACGCTGCTGTCTGAAGTTTGCTGTGGCCTCTATTTTCAGAGTTGATCTGAGAGCACTTCACATCCAGTGGGAAGTCAGACACATGTCGATGCTGCTCTCCTTTCTGCTGATTAAAGAAGAGGAGGAGGAATTTACAATTAGCTGCCAACTCTGGACTTTTCTTTTTCAGATGCAAAAGAAATTGTTTTAAAAGCGCAAATCCTAGCGGGAGGAAGAGGAAAAGGAGTCTTCAACAGTGGCTTGAAAGGAGGCGTGCATCTCACCAAGGAGTAAGTGGAGGTCTCCTTCCTGTCCTGGCCAAGTCACTGGGAAGGAGGGATGGGTGCGGGCGGGAGCAGGTCGAGGAGCAGATTCCTGGGGGGGCTCTGGCAGTGCTGCAGACGTCCTTCAGAGAATCCATGTCACCTGCACTCACAGCGTCCGCTCACAGGATTTGTGGTTTTCTCACCCATATGCTACCTGCTTAGCATCGCAGAAAAAATCCTGAAAGGGTTTTTCTTCCCTAACTGCTGGAAGTGACCTTCCTCTGGACAGTGGTGTTGCTAAGTCCTGGCAGTGATGGCACTGCAGGTGAGTTGGTGTCCTGCTCAGGAGCCCTCAGGGGCGCCCGTGGCTGCTGCATCAGCTGCCTCCGTGGCAGTCCTGCCTGCTGTCCTGCGAGCCTGGCTTGGTGACGTCCCCTTCCAGCACCGAACGCTTTCCCCACTGTTCCTGTCACGCACCCCGTTCGTACAAAGACCATATTCATTGTTGACTGTGGTCAGTGTCCTCTTCCCTGTTCCTCTCTAATAGTTCACAAATTGTCCACCCTCGAGGACCTGTGCAGACTTTATGACCTCTGTGTGTCTCAGGCTGGTGCTCACGGTGACTGTACGTGCGGCAGGAGGGGACAGGGGTCAGAAAGCGCTTCTGTGTCACTCAGGTTTGCCCTTACCTCGTGCTCTCTGTGCGCCTCGAGTGCAATGCGAAGCCCGTGGCGTATGGGTGGAGAGACTAGGGATTCTGTGAGTGGACAGTGGACTCCACGGTGCACAGTGGACCCTGGGCAGGGTGGACGTGAGGGTGAGTGGACTCTGCTGTATGGTGCTGTTCAGCAGACATTGATGTTATTTTTTTCCCTTTTCCTCCCTCGTAGCCCTAAAGTTGTGGGACAGCTGGCCAAACAGATGATCGGGTACAACCTAGCAACAAAGCAAACCTCCAAAGAAGGTGTGAAAGTCAACAAGGTAACGAGGTCCTCTTGATGCATGCGTCAGAGGCAGAGCCACACCTCAGTGCACACGCGGGGGAAGCCCTGCTCTCTGGCAGGAGCGCAGTGCGTTCTGGAGCTCGGTGACCCTGCCAGGGCTGTGTCCCTGAGGAGGGAAGAGGCTCCGCTAACCTGGACTTGTTCTTTACCCTTGGCCAGTAGCAGCGTCAGTTGCTCAGAGTCTGAGCCTGGTTCTCCTGTGCAGGACCTGGGTGTTCTGCTCAGTGCTGGAAGGGCGGAGAGGGACCGCCTCCGGCGGGCGAGGGATGCTCTCTGCTCCGGTGGAGCCCCACCCTCACCCGGGTATTCTGAGGACCTGCCCCCTTATTCGTTAGGCGTCCACCTTGAGGTCACTGCCATTTCCAGCTTCCCTCTTGCCGGGGTCAGTTGTATCATGCCATCTGCTGGGGCAGCCAGGGCTTTGAGTGCCTGCAGGAACGCACCTCAGAAGATAAAGCCCAGGAAGGTAGCGTGCCTCAGCCAGCCATGGATGGGTGAACTGCAGGGCCGGGGCCAGCCCTACTGTCCTGCCCATGTCCTCCCCTGGCCATCTCCCTCGTGCAGGTGTGGGAACCAGTCCCCCTGCCCGCAGCACCCAGTGCAAAGCTTACAGGGAAGACCCGGCTTGCTCAGGACAGCTGTCGAGGACGTGAACCCGGTGGCCTCTCCCGGCCCGGGCCCTGTGCGTGGCAGGCCCATCCTTACCGTGGATGAGGGCCTGCTTTGTGGGGAGCAGCTGTCCCTTCTGTGTCAAGGCTGATGGTCCGTCATCGTGCTGTATTTGGGGATGCTGGTGGGGTGTGTTCCAAGTTTACTTTCACAGATTTTTTAGAAACTTTTTGATGTGCCTAAAAAAGATACCCAGGCAGTTCTTAGTGTGTCAAGGGTGGTCTGTCCCAGCACAGAGGACCCTGAGCTTGGGGACAGCACGGTGACTATAGGCCGCCAACAACATGCCTTTCTGCAGGTCGAGGGGCAAGAGCCAGCCAGGGTGGGCATGTCCCACTGTGCTGCCCTGAGGGTGCTCCCTGCCTCCTTCTGGCTGGTTGTACAGAGCTCCCCGCATGGCCTTTAAATCTGATCATGAGCATTTCCTCTCACTCATTCAGACTTTGCAGAGGGCATAATTCGAATTTTTATTGGTAGGAACTTGTTGTTTTATGTGGGCACATGGGATTTTTAGATCAGTGTTTGTGATACTTTTAAAAGCACATAAAAGTGCACAGAGCAGATTCACACTCTGTAGAAGTGGCGTTCTGCAGACTTAGCTTGTAGATAAGTTCCTGAAGTACCAGCGATAAGCACATCCTTGTAAGTGGGGTCATTGCTGGTATACTACTAGAGTGATTTATTTTATTTATTTTTTATTTTTTTAAACACTTATTTTTTAGTCGTAGTGGACACAGTACTTTTATGTTATTTTTATGTGGTGCTGAGGATCAAACTCAGTGCTTCACGCATGCAAGTTCTCTACCTCTGAGCCACAACCCCAGCCCAGAGTGATTTATTTTTGACAAGTCCCCCGCCCCCGCCACACCCTACACTGGCAAAAGTGATTAACAATGTGAAAAATTCTAATCATGCAAAAATACAAAGCAAAGTCAGAGTTCCCAGTGTTCTCCCCTGAGACGGAATTGCCAAATACTGTTTTGGTCCTTTCTTGGTGTGAACTGTCGTCACACCCTAGAGCAGCGACCACCACGGCTCATGGACCCCAGAACCCATCTCCACAGCAGTTGAGAATCCGTTTTGTCCTTCTGGTGGGGTGCAGGTTCCAGGGAACCAGGTGGTGGGTATTTAACCATGTGGGGGCGGTCACTCGTTTGGAGGGTCCCTAGTGCAAGTTCTGGAAGCTCTTATGTGAGTGGAGGCGTGGGCATCTTCATACCCAGGTCTGTCTTTTCACACTCAGCAGAGAGACTCCTTAGAGACCCAGGTCCCAGGCTGATCCAGCCTTGGGTTTCCTGCATGCTGAGTCCACTGCCTCTTCCTGATCCATCAGCGGTTGAGAAGCTAGGGAGCCAAGCTGGCCTCAGGGGCTGGAGCTTCACTGTGTATTCACCCTGCGGCTGGGTGGGATTTCCTGAGAAGACTCCGGGGGCCCTGGGATGAGACCCTGCGGTTTGGCTGTGTAGCTCGGAGGTGTGTGCTCTGCATCCTGGTGTGCCGGGCATGGCACTGGTCTTGGGACCCAGTCGTTGAACTTTGCTTCACAGTCCTGTTCCCGAGAGCTTCCACACTGGCACTCCTCTGCAGGGCACGCGTGGAGGAGCAGGGTATTAAAAACAAAGGAAAAACACAGATTTCTTGGTCGAGCAGAGCAAAGAGAGGAAGCTTTCATCCGGGGACTCCAGAATGACTGCCTATGCCCATAACCACCTTCTTGTAACTCAGGAGGGCGGTCTCCCCGGGCTTCTGCTGGGAGGAGAGTTTGCAGAGGGCTTCGGCTCTCCCTAAATGATCCCTAAAGTTCTCTGTCATTCTGAGTCCCAGGATGGCATCTTAGCATCCAAAACTGGTCTTTGTGTGAAATCTCTTAATTATCTCTGGCTACAAGCATCCTTGTCCTGGGGACACTTTCTTAAGGCCCTTTCTTAACAGCAAGAGCTGTGTGAGACAGCAGCTGGTCTTCACAAGGAGACATTTGGTGGAGTGCAGGGGGCAGCTGTCAGCATTCCAGAAGATGAAGTGGGGGACTCGAGGGACACCCCAAGAACAGCAGTGTTGTGTTGCTGCTGAGAACAGCCCCCGGGGGTCACTCAGCGCCAAGTGACCGGAAGTTATGCCACACACCTGAACGCACAGAAGCCACATGCTCCTTTTGCATTTTGTGTCCATGAAATGTCTTCCAGTGGCTCGCCAATCTCCTAGAGAAGTTTTTAGAGAAATAATTGTTGATGCACAGAGGTGAACTTCATATCATTTCTGTGGACCACAGGTTACTAAGAAAGCACAGAGCCACACGCCCTTGCTGTCGGCGTCCCGCGTCTCCTTAGGAGAGCTTCTGAGGGGTCTGCGTTTCCACCGGCCCGAAGGAGAACTGGCCCTGAGGGAGGGCTTGACTGGCATTGACTGGCCTTTTTTTATTTTAGTTTTTTTGGAGGTACCAGGGATTGAACTCAGGGGCAGTGACTACTGAGCCCTGTTTTGTGTTTTAATTAGAGACAGGGTCTCCCTGAGTTGCTTAGTGCCTTACCATTGCTGAGGCTGGCTTTGAACTTGTGATCCTCCTGCCTCAGCCTCCTCCGGAGCTGCTGGGATGACAGCCGTGTGCCACCGCACCTGGCTCATGTATAGGCTTTTGATATCCATTTTTGAACAATCAAGTGTAAATTGAAAGAAAGTATAAAATGAAATAAAACACAGTGACGCAAGGGACAGAAGCATCTAAACGTGGAGCAGCAGATACGTTGTAAAAGAGCCTTTCTGTGGTAATCAGATTTGGCTTTCCACCCAGGAAACCCGAGCAGAGCCCGTGTGGAGAGGCACGTACTGTTAACACCAGATTAAAACAATGCTGCTTCCCTGGGTTCTTCTTAGTGGCAGAATTTCTCAGGGAAAGCGAAAAAGGGAGATCAAAGTGGGGAGTTCCTTGACACAGACCAAAAACCTGTCACCTGAACAAGTTGGCAGATCAGTAAGGGGATGGCAGGGAGCTCCAGAGAGCAGACGCTCAGGCGCCCGAGAGTGGCCAGTTTGACCTGGGCAGCAGAGTGTCCAGGTGCCAGGCGGAAGCTGCTCCAAGCTGCACGCATCTGACTTTCCCGCCTGTGTGCAGGTGATGGTTGCTGAAGCCCTGGACATTTCAAGAGAAACCTACCTGGCAATTCTGATGGACCGGTCCTGCAACGGCCCCGTGCTGGTGGGCAGCCCCCAGGGGGGCGTTGACATTGAAGAGGTGGCGGCTTCCAATCCAGAGCTGATTTTTAAGGTATGCTTAATTGCCTGGCCATGCCTGTTCTCGGACTGTTATGACAGACGTCCACCTCCTGGGTCAGCTCTGCCCTGGGTGGCCCTGCCGTGCACACACTCTCCCCTGGGACACCGGCCTGACCTGGATGGCCGTGAGTCAAGCAGATCCTTCCAGACTCCAGTGCTGTCTTCTCCTTCCCGTGCTTGGAACCTTGTCCCTGTTATTGGTCTTGAGATTAATTTCAATCAAGAGATCTGCAGCCAGATCTTAAGAGTGATCGAGTTTTTCACCACCTCTAAGCCTCACTTTGTAAATCAGTGAAATAAAATGGGGTAACTTCTACCCCATGAGACTGTGAGCATTGTGTGGGGTGAGGGGCCTGCGCTGTCTCTCAACCCACCTCAGCTACATAAGAAAATGTAGACCCATAAACCCACTTTTAATGTGGGTTCTCGGGGTCAGGACCACATTAAAAATCTGTAGCAGAATGTTCATTATTTCTTTTAGAAAATGATTTTCCACTTTGGGAAGGGGAATTTTGTTTCCTGAACCTCTTGGGCTGTGTCACGTACTCACACTCTGGTCATAGTTGTTAAAATATTTTTGCTAATATTGCGCACGTAGGTAACTGCCTTGGACATTGGGGACTTCACCCACAGACTTGCCAGTAACACCCGGCAGTCCCCAAGTTAACGGAATCTGAACCAGTCCCATTTACAGGAAGAAGACATGAAGTAGTGTGTCCCGGAAGTGCTTATTTTTGTGGAGGAATGGCAGTTTGTAGGGTGAAGTGTCCTTAAAAGTTTTCATCATCAGTACAGTGTTTAACTCCGAGATAACGCTGAGCCCGCGAAGGACACCTCTGACCATAACCGCAGCGGGAGGCAGGAAAGCCCTGCTTTGGAAGACTTCCAAAAGATGTCATAAAAATTAACTGACTCAATATTCATCAGTGCCATCTGTGTAGTAATTAGAAGCGAAAACTGGCGTTGGCCCATGCTGTCAGCAGGCGGCCTGGAAGGATGATATAGTTTTTGGAAGGGCTGTTCCGTAGACGGCCTGCTAATTAAAACACACCCTATAGGCAGCTGCAGCCCTGAGCGGGGAGCTCTGGAAAGGAGCGCTCTTTAATTACTCATTTGCAAATAAATACTAAGCGCTTTCTTTTTTGGGGGTTATAAATCTTCTCACTTGACTGTCTGAATTTGTTCATTTGATTTATTTTGACTAGGAGCAAATTGACATTTTTGAAGGGATAAAGGACAGCCAAGCGCAGCGGATGGCCGAGAACCTGGGCTTCGTGGGGCCCCTGAGGAACCAGGTAGGTGAGCCACGGGAGGGCGGTGTGTGCGACCTGCTCAGGGGGCACTCGGAACCTCCTTCCCTGCCTGATGTTGTGACTGCCAGGAGGAGGATGTCCTGCCGGTGTCTGTGTGAACCTGTGGGTGTGCATGGCATGCCACACGTGGGCACACACCTCAGCCGCTGGTCCCGCCACCTGCATGGCGTCCAGTCCGGCCTGTCCCATTCCATCTGTGCCATGGGGTGGTGGCTGCCGCCTGGGGTTGTGGGGTCCAGCGTGGTGGGAGAGGGTGCTCATCATAGTCCTCCGTAAAGTCAGTCCCCGGGCAGGGTGGAGCTCCGTGGTGGAGTGCCCACCTCCAGTGCAAGGCTGGGCTCCGTCCCTGCTCCTACAGATGCCGGTCAGTGGTGGTCGTTGTTAATAGCACCCGCTGCCCCAACACCTGCTGTCCTCCTGAAGCTCAGCAGCACATGGGGTGGCTATTGGTAGCAGGAGGGCGGTTTTAGGAGGATCGGCTGAAAACCTGCTGTGACGTTAGGATGCATGCTGCTACAGTAGCAGTTACCTACCCGCGAAAAAGTAGGCACAGTAACAGTATCCGCTGGCCTCGAAGACAGCACTTGTCCCCAGATGGATGAGGGACAGAGTCTTCCTGAGCCGCCCCCGGCGCCCTGCCTCTGGTCCAACCCATGAAGCCTGACATTGCGTTAGGTGGACAAGCTTCTCTGTCCCACCCAAGGCATAAGAAATGGGGGACCTCTCCCTCCCCCGTCACTCAGAGGCCACCCTAATACTAGGTCGTCTGTGCTCCATGGCTTGGTGCCATGTCATTGTAGTGCCGTTGTCCCTCCAAGGAGGACTTGTCCAGGCCCCCAGGTCAGCAAAGTCTAGCCGAGCTCACACTCCTTGAAGGAGGCATGGTGTTTGAGTGCAGCCCTCCCACGCCCTTTAAATCCTCTCTGGACGGCTCAGGACACCCACACAGAGCAGGGGCCGCTGTGTCCTGTGGTTAGGGATGAGGACAGCACAGAGGGCCCACCTGTTCTCCAGGGATGCTGTGTACTTTCAGAAGGCTTCACCTGCGGCTGGTGGAGGCCATGAATCCACGGATGTGTAACTGTAGGCCGAAGGCTCGGGTCTCGTCACCTCCATGAGCAGGGCCACCTGAAGGCTCAGGTCTCGTCACCTCCTTGAGCAGGGCCACCTGAAGGCTCAGTTCTCATCACTTCCTTGAGCAGGGCCACCTGAAGGCTCAGTTCTCGTCACCTCCTTGAGCAGGGCCACCTGAAGGCTCGGGTCTCGTCACCTCCTTGAGCAGGGCCACCTGAAGGCTCAGGTCTCGTCACCTCCTTGAGCAGGGCCACCTGAAGGCTCAGTTCTCATCACTTCCTTGAGCAGGGCCACCTGAAGGCTCAGTTCTCGTCACCTCCTTGAGCAGGGCCACCTGAAGGCTCGGGTCTCGTCACCTCCTTGAGCAGGGCCACCTGAAGGCTCGGGTCTCGTCACCTCCTTGAGCAGGGCCACTTGAAGGCTCGGGTCTCGTCACCTCCTTGAGCAGGGCCACCTGAAGGCTCAGGTGTCGTCACCTCCTTGAGCAGGGCCACCTGAAGGCTCAGGTCTCGTCACCTCCTTGATCAGGGCCACCTGAAGGCTGAGGTCTCCATCACCTCCTTGAGCAGGGCCACCTGAAGGCTCGAGTCTCGTCACCTCCTTGAGCAGGGCCATCTGAAGGCTCGGGTCTCGTCACCTCCTTGAGCAGGGCCACCTGAAGGCTCAGGTGTCGTCACCTCCTTGAGCAGGGCCACCTGAAGGCTCAGGTCTCATCACTTCCTTGAGCAGGGCCACCTGAAGGCTCAGGTCTCCATCACCTCCTTGAGCAGGGCCACCTGAAGGCTCAGTTCTCATCACCTCCTTGAGCAGGGCCACCTGAAGGCTCAGGTGTCATCACCTCCTTTAGCAGGGCCACCTAAAGGCTCAGGTCTCGTCACCTCCTTGAGCAGGGCCACCTGAAGGCTCAGGTGTCATCACCTCCTTGATCAGGGCCACCTGAAGGCTGAGGTCTCCATCACCTCCTTGAGCAGGGCCACCTGAAGGCTCGAGTCTCGTCACCTCCTTGAGCAGGGCCATCTGAAGGCTCGGGTCTCGTCACCTCCTTGAGCAGGGCCACCTGAAGGCTCAGGTGTCGTCACCTCCTTGAGCAGGGCCACCTGAAGGCTCAGGTCTCATCACTTCCTTGAGCAGGGCCACCTGAAGGCTCAGGTCTCCTCACCTCCTTGATCAGGGCCACCTGAAGGCTCAGGTCTCGTCACCTCCTTGATCAGGGCCACCTGAAGGCTGAGGTCTCCATCACCTCCTTGAGCAGGGCCACCTGAAGGCTCAGGTCTCCATTACCTCCTTGAGCAGGGCCACCTGAAGGCTCAGGTGTCATCACCTCCTTGAGCAGGGCCACCTGAAGGCTTAGGTCTCCATCACCTCCTTGAGCAGGGCCACCTGAAGGCTTAGGTCTCCATCACCTCCTTGAGCAGGGCCACCTGAAGGCTTAGGTCTCCATCACCTCCTTGAGCAGGGCCACCTGAAGGCTCAGGTCTCGTCACCTCCTTGAGCAAGGCCACCTGAAGGCTCAGGTCTCGTCACCTCCTTGAGCAGGGCCACCTGAAGGCTCAGGTCTCGTCACCTCCTTGAGCAGGGCCACCTGAAGGCTCAGGTCTCCTCACCTCCTTGAGCAGGGCCACCTGAAGGCTCAGGTGTCACCACCTCCTTGAGCAGGGCCACCTGAAGGCTCAGGTGTCACCACCTCCTTGAGAAGGGCCACCTGAAGGCTCAGGTCTCCATTAGCTCCTTGAGCAAGGCCACCTGAAGGCTCAGGTCTCGTCACCTCCTTGAGCAGGGCCACCTGAAGGCTTAGGTCTCCATCACCTCCTTGAGCAGGGCCACCTGAAGACTCAGGTCTCCATCACCTCCTTGATCAGGGCCACCTGAAGGCTCAGGTCTCCATCACCTCCTTGAGCAGGGCCACCTGAAGGCTCAGTTCTCATCACCTCCTTGAGCACGGCCACCTGAAGGCTCAGGTGTCATCACCTCCTTGAGCAGGGCCACCTGAAGGCTTAGGTCTCCATCACCTCCTTGAGCAGGGCCACCTGAAGGCTCAGGTCTCCCATCACCTCCTTGAACAGGGCCACCTGAAGGCTTAGGTCTCCATCACCTCCTTGAGCAGGGCCACCTGAAGGCTCAGGTCTCCATCACCTCCTTGAACAGGGCCACCTGAAGGCTCAGGTCTCCATCACCTCCTTGAGCAGGGCCACCTGAAGGCTCAGGTCTCGTCACCTCCTTGAGCAGGGCCACCTGAAGGCTCAGGTCTCCATCACCTCCTTGAGCAGGGCCACCTGAAGGCTCAGGTCTCCATCACCTCCTTGAGCAGGGCCACCTGAAGGCTCAGGTCTCGTCACCTCCTTGAGCAGGGCCACCTGAAGGCTCAGGTCTCCATCACCTCCTTGAGCAGGGCCACCTGAAGGCTTAGGTCTCCATCACCTCCTTTAGCAGGGCCACCTGAAGGCTCAGGTGTCGTCACCTCCTTGAGCAGGGCCACCTGAAGGCTTAGGTCTCCATCACCTCCTTGAGCAGGGCCACCTGAAGGCTCAGGTCTCCATCACCTCCTTGAGCAGGGCCACCTGAAGGCTCAGGTGTCATCACCTCCTTGAGCAGGGCCACCTGAAGGCTCAGGTCTCCATAACCTCCTTGAGCAGGGCCACCTGAAGGCTCGGGTCTCGTCACCTCCTTTAGCAGCGCCAGCCTCACACGTGCTCTGCACTCTTCGTACATTTGTGGGTTTTTTTTTTTTTTACTGTCTCGAGAAGTTTCATGGTGACAGTGGCAAGAATGACAAAGTGGAAGGAGACCTTAACAGTCACGTGAGTTTAATGAAGGAAGGTGGCACTTACTGAAAACACAAGTGGATGCCCTGGGAAAGCACGAGAACCAAGATGGCAGAAGGGCCCAGGATCGCCTGGAAGTGACCCTCGGGAGGAGAGAAGGGACAGGTGTCAGAGCTGGTGAGCTGATGGCTGCTTCTGACCCTGCCGATAATGCCAGGGAAGCACCTGCTGGAGGGAGACACTGGAAAGTTCCGGGTGTGTGCTGCAGTTGTGGTCACTCTCTTGGGATGAGGCTTCCAGGCTCACGCCACCCGCTGGACGCTCAGGGCGCCTGTGCAGCTGGTCGCTGACCACACCTCTGCCACATAGCCCCTTTGATGGTGCCCTTGGTGGCAGGCACCAGGGCTGTCTGCCTCTTTGGCCTCACCTGCCCGTACGCGCTTGGCCTGCCCATGGGGAGTCCCCGTTGCCAGAGCCAGGCCTTCACCACAGCAGGGGCTCTGACCATCTGGCTCACTGCTGGGCGACCTGCAGCCCACAGAGTGCTGGGCACCATGTTAGCTGCCCCGGGAGGACTGCTGTGTGTGGGCACAGCCAGGGCTAGGCGTCCAGGCCTGTCCCTCTGGAGAGCTCCAGGGTGGTCAGCAGGAGGGGCCTTAGGCATGAATCTGGGGTGGGCAAGCCCTGCTGACCTGTGTCCAGAGCTGAGTCTGAGCAGTGGGGAGCCTGCAGAAGGCAGCCCAGCAGGAAGCACATCCTGGACGCCCTGCCCGGCTCTCAAGAGAGGAAGCTCGTCCACGGGCCTCAGCGATGCAATCTCACGTTCCCGGAAACACGCCAGCCTGAGCTGGTCAGGCAGGGCCTCCCAGGACACGGGGTCGTCTCCTTCACCAGCTCTGTGTTGGGATCAGTCGGGGAGAGGAAGCCCGTTTTCTTTTCCATTGCCACTGCCTTGAAAGGCTCAGGCTCCTGCTTGCTCAGCTGCTGTGCCAACGCTGGGGTGTGCTCTCTGAGCCCCGGGAACAGACCGGGAGGAGTCAGTCTGCTGGCAGAAGGCCTGGGGACGGGAGGATGGAGGGTGGAGGCTGACCTCAGTTGGGAGCTGCTGGGTTTGTGCGTCCAGGGACACCCAGAGTGTTTGTGCAGCAGGAAGGACACGTGTGCAGGTGCCCAGGGAGGCCATGTGCAGAGCCGCTGGTGGGTCTGGGCATCCTAGTTCCGCCTGCTTCCTCCAGCCAGCAGGCCACTGGGCCGTTCCAGGGAGGCAGGTGCACCGAAGGCCAGGGTTGAGATCACAGAGCTCCTAGTGGCCATCGGTCACCAGTCCTGCCTCAGGAAAGGTGATGAGGAGCCCACAGGTCCAGCGTGATCTTGAAGGTCACTCAGTTTTTGTCTGGGGCGTTGCTGAGGCATCTGCAGACCCCTCATTCATGAAGGAATGATATAAAATGACTGTCTGATGACTCTACCTCTGTTTTCCCGTGATTCATGCCTATTGCCTTCGAACTGTGCTTTATTGATAATAAGAAAAATAAAGATGATGTCTTGCCTGGTAAATCTGCTAGATATCTGTTCCTGCCGAAAATTCATTTTGGCAAAAATTTGTTGACAAAGCTAAAACCACGGCAAGCTGGATGTGACTAGACACAGACCAGTTTCTCAAGCGTGTCCTCACCACCTTGCAGTAGACCCCTGTCCCAGAGGGTGCCCCGCACCCCCTCACCACCCCTGCAGTGGACCTCTGTCTCAGAAAGATACGCTGCTGCCAGACTTGGTGAGGTTTTCCTTTGAATATGTTTGGTTTTAGGGATTTAAATTTTAAATTGCTCGACCGTCAGCCTTAGCGTAGTGTGCATTGGTAGCGCAGGGAAGACGCACTCTTCTGCATGTGGTGGTTTGGAATTTGGAAGGTGGACTGCAGTCTTAACTGACCACACCTTAACCTGCAGGTGGTTTCTTTCCCTGGTGTGAGGCTTATTTCTAGTCTTTTGAACATGAGAAGGCAGGGGAACTGGCTCCCCGGGCTGTGCACCCCGCATCCCCGTCGTCACCTCTACTCTCGCTGACTGCCGTCTGTGGTCCCCCTCGCAGACCCCACCATGGAGGTGTGTCAGCCTAGCTCACGGCGTGTGACAACCCAGGTCACCGAGCCCCAAAACCTGTGTTGCTGGATCCTAGCAGTGCCCTTAGTGGCTGAGGCCCAGGCTTCATGTCAGGTGAACACAGGCTTGAGGGGCTCTGAAGCCACAGCCAAGGGTGCCCCTGTGACCAGCAGAGGGACCCCATGTGGCAACCCCATGGAGGCGGGTTTAGCCTTCAGTGGTTCTGGTCCGAGGTCCAGGGGTGTCATCTCTGAGGGCCTTCTTGGTGGCAGAGTCCTGAGATGTTGCTTGGCATCACGTGGCCAGGGGCAGGGAGCGTGTGTGGGTCCTGGGTCTCTCCCTCTTCTCACCAAGACCAGGATTCCATGCTGGGGCTCCACCTCGATGACCATACAGAGCCCAGCTCTGCACCAGGGTCACGTTAAGCTCCAGGCCTCTCAACACCTAGTGTGGCACCAACCTCCACCAGGATTCCTAGGGGACAGAGCGTGTCCTCACCACACATTCCACCCGCATGTGGGGAGCCGGTGGGGGCTGCAGGCTCTGGAGAGAGGGTGCCCGGCAGCGTGGATGTGACTGACAGGGGTCGTGGAACCCCACGTCCACCTAACTCTGGCCACAGCGGTGAACTTTGTGTGCTGTGTGTTTCACCGCAGTTTTTTTAAAAAGGTACTTCTGAAAAACTGGGATGAGATGTGGAGGGGCCAACAGGTGCCCAAGAGGAAATAATGCAGGCTGGCACTAAGAGCAGAGAGTGGCAAGGGGATGCCCTGGCTGGGGACAAACGAAGCCCAGGACGGGTGATGACCACCCTTGACCACAATGGCACAGTCTGCAGGTTTTGTGGGGGCTGTCCAGGGTGAGCCCTGCTCCTCCACCATGTCTCCCACGTCTGGCCCTCTGGATGTTAGCTGCAGGACCAGGAAGGGGGTGAGTACCAGCTGAGAAAAGGTGAAGAGAGAGGGAATTTTAAGCTGGGGGTGGGGGGAAATGAAGCCAGAGCTGTATTAGGGGAAACAGGAACATCTCTGCCCTTTGTGGTGGGTGGCGTCAGGACAAACAGTCGATTTGGAAGCATGTTGGGACTGGGCTGTTTAAGATTTCATCTTCCTGACTTGCAACAATTTCCATTAGACACTTAGAAATTGTATTTCACAGAGTGTGGTGTGGATTGATGACTATAATGGTGTTCTCACTCCTGTGTAATAGGAAACAGTCATCCTCGCTCACAACCACTGCACACTGACTTAAATAGAGCCTGTTTGTTAATGATTGCAGAGTATACAGTGGTCCTCCTCGTTTGAAAGGGACATGATAATTTGCAAAAAGATTAATCGTGTTTTCTAATTGCACTGAAAATGTTTTGTGTTCCTAATAATAGTCTCTTCTGATGTCTGGAGGAAAGTTGAGCAATTCCTTCTAATGAAAAGCAGTAGAAATTAAAATAATCAGGCTTTTCCATTTTTCTCTTCAAAGACCTAACTAAAAATGAAGACATAATTCGCTGTCTTTAAGGTTTCGCTAATCGAGAAAAATACATTTTCTCTTACTGCTTTGGAAGTAATTCTGTTTCACTTGCTCACATTTAGGCTGCAGACCAGATTAGGAAGCTGTACAACCTCTTCCTGAAGATCGATGCCACTCAGGTGGAAGTGAATCCCTTTGGCGAGACTCCCGAAGGACAAGGTAAAAAACACGAGGAGGGAAGTGAATGTGTTGTGATTATTTATGTAAACTGTGAATTACATTTCACAAGGGCTCCGGCAGCCCCTCGGCATCCAGCCCCTGGATCAGTAGGACGCCTGCGTGGTTTCACATGCACCCCTGCCCAGCTCAGCATCTCAGCACTCGCATTGTTTGCAGGCACATGGAATGCCCTGGAGGACGCTGCTTGTTGACTTTGAAACGTGTGTGTACCCCTGCACAGACACTGCCACGCATGCTGGCACGCACCCATACATATGCACTCGCATGTGCACCCACATGCATGTGCAGACGCGTGCAGACACCCTGCACTGACAGACATGCACACAGACATCTCCAGGCCTGTTGCTGCTGCGTCTCGTGAGGGGATCCCCGTGGGGATGGCAGCTTTGCTCTGTGTGTAGTGAACGCACCTGCTGCTCCAAGACCAGAACTTCTGAAGCTCTGTTTCCCCTAAGCCTGAGTATGATTCCCTGGTGCCCCAGGCTGACGCACATCGTGGTGGAGCCCTGCCACTCTGCAGCTGAGCTTCCTCACACTACCTGCTTCAGGGTTTCTGCTTAGGGTAGGAAGTGGCACTTCTGAGGGGCAGGTCTCTCCTACCCACCAAGTACTGAGGAGCATCAGTAGCTGTTGTCTGGGTGGGCATCTGCCCTTGTGCCGTGTGTCCTGCCTACACTTAGGGTCTGGTCAGTGCTGGCTGATTTGGTAGCAGAGGCTTGTGACTGTTGGGGAGTTGGGAGGAGTGGAATGGCAGGCGGATAGGACAGCACACCACAGTGCAAACCTGTCTCTCGGGTTTCACCCACATCTGGCATGGCATGGGAAGTCAGTAACTAGCCACTTCCTGTTGAACTGTCCGTGAGTGAATCTCTGTGTGTCGACCCGTGTTGTGAACCAAAGGATATCTGCGGTGTTTCCCCCTAGCGGAGATTCTGTGGTCCTCGTAGCCCAAAGAGGCCTGGTACAGATTTAGGACCTACCGTGTTCTGGCTGTAGACCTGGGCACGCACCTGCAGAAGCCTCAGGTACTTTTATCAGGACAAAGAGGTAAAAACAATACTGATCTCAGAATGCTTGTGAAAACCAGGCGGGCTGGTGTCCTGTGTGAACTTTCAGCATCAGACACGAAGTCGGCCAGTCCTGACGTCCATGAACTAGAGTGCCTCTTCAGGTCACGCAGGAGGAAGCCTGCATTTTGGTTGGCTCTTTTGTTGATGTGACCCACCCACCCAACAGGAACACCTCAGAGGAAGGGAAGCTTAGTTTGGCTCACAGTTTCCGAGGTCTCAGTTCACAGATGGTCAGCGAGCTCAGAGCCCAGTTGAGGCAGGACATCATGGCTGAAGGGAGTGGAGGAGGGCAGCAGCTCAGGACGTGCGTGGCACCAGGAAGCAGAGAGAGCTCTGCTCACCAGGAACAAAATATGAATCCCACAGGCACACCCCTAGGGACACACTTCCCCAGCCACGCCCACCTGCCTACAGTCTACACCCCGTCAGTCCCTATCAGCAGATGAGTGCACTGACTAGGTTAGGGCTATCGTAACCCGATCATTTCACCTCTAAATCTTGCATTGTCTCATACCTGGGCTTTTGGGGGACACCTCTCACATCCAAACCGTAACACCTGGAGAGGGTTGGAGTTCAGACTGGGACAAGCAGAGTTCCTGTTTAGGGAGCTTTAAAGATGATATGTAGCAGTCGGTCTCCAGTTTGGGAACACAGACCTCCTGAGCCCGTGCCCGAGGGGAAGTCAAGAGACGTGGGAGCATGGGAGTCTGCGAGGGTCTCGGGCTGCTTTTCAAGGTAGTGTGCCCAAGCAACCTGCTGGTTCTATCAGGAAAAAAAAAAAAATCCAGGAAAGGATTGTCAGCCAGGCGTGGGTGAAGGCAGGCGTGGGTGAAGGCAGGCGTGGTCCGCTTCCCCAGCCCCAGCCGTGTCTGGCAGCAGGAACCGGGTGGGCGCCGTTTCTCAGAGGGCGTTTACAAGCTTCACGTCACGAAGTCTGAAGTTTTCCCTCGAATTATTAAGAAAGGAAAGTTCTTGAGGTTTTTTTTTTGAAAGAATCATCACCAAACACGTTCTATATAGACAGTTCATTAAAACAGAAGCCTCACGTGATATTTTTAAGAGCAGAATTATCTTTGGCTATTAATTTGTTCATTGTACCATAAAAGTTCAGCTATTGAATTATAATCACAATTAAATGAGTGTGTTGGTTTGTAACTCTAATGAGCAGTAGTCAAATTAAACCCAATTAGGAAATGGTGATTAATGACCAAAGGCACAGATTGATCTTCATCCTGTCCAGTGCCGGAGCAGTCCTTCATTAGGGCATTGAAGCAGTGTGTGTGCCTTGGCCACATGGGTCATCTGAACTCTTAAGTTATTTCCATTCAGATCAGTGACAGCCGACGTTCTACACTGGGGCGTCCACCTTGGAGCCTGATTTAATAACTGGCCGTGTCATTTGGAGGCTCAGGGAGCCCAGCCTCACGCCAGGCGTTTTCCTGTGAAGCTGTCATCACACCAACACTCCTTGTGGAATTTCTCCACCTCCGTCGCTCCCTGAGGAACCTCGACACTCAGTTTTCTGCAGTGTCTGTGCCTGCTGCCGGCAGAACGAAGACTGAGGCCTGGACGTCGAGGCTGCCCAGGCAACCTGGAGACGTTGGAGATGGAGGAAGAGCTGCCCTCTGAGAACTGTTTCCCAGTGTCATTAGTGACCCAAGTGCAGGACTATGATGTGACTCCACTAACTTTAACCTAGTCCAGTACGCCCCGGCTGGGATGTCAGTGGTTGCTGGGGACAGAGGCCTTCGGCCTTGGCTTAGCTTCTGTTAGATGCACCAGGGGACTCTTCCTTCATGAGTTAGGAGCCTAAGGCGTGGGCAGGCATGGGCCGGGAGCACCCTGCTGGCCGCTGCCTTGTTCTCCCTCGCCCGGCTCTCTGCAGTGGGCAGCCTCCATGGGAGTCCCCTGTGGGAACCCTGCTTGAGTCACATGGGCCTGGCTTGTCCAGCTGCCTGCAGATAGCGTGTGGCACAGGAAGGAGGCCATCCCCCCACAGGCAGTGGGGCCCAGACGTGTCCACCAGCCAGGGCGAGCCAGCCTTTCCTGAAGTAAAAGTGAGCTGTGTTAGGTGGCGATCAACCGCAGGCTGGCCGCTCTTGCTTGTCCAGCTGCAAAAACAGATTAATTCACCCAACGTGGCTGGTGAGAGCCAGAGTTCTCAAACCTGTTAGTCTTCCGACCTGTCCCTTCCTTCTCTTTGATTTCACGGCCTCGGTGGGGTTTTAAATTCTGTTTGGTTTTTCCCACCTTCCCAGGTCTGCCTGTGTCTGTAAAGCGTGTGATTATTGGGGTGGCCATGTCACCCCAGGGAACATGGGGCAAGGTCTGGGCATGGGTTCAGTTGCCCCAGCTTGGGGTGGTGCTGTTGGCTCCTGCCAGGGAGGCTGCTGAGTCCCCTGCAGTGCCCCGTGGTCCCCCAACAACAGGGCAGGGCCCCAGCCCACACCCGCAGCGCCCCTCTGCGGATTCTTGCCGTGAGGCGCCTTCCTCAGGCAACCTGGATCCGTTCACTGAGCTAAAGAAGCCCGACCCGTCGGCCGCAGTGGCTCTGGGGCCAGGATTCCTTGAGAATCAGGCCCAGGGATCTGCAGTTGGCTGGCACCCACTTCCCTCCTTCCTCAGGCCGCTTCCCTAAATAGCTGCCCGTCACGGTGTTAGCGAGCGCCCACGGTGTTGGTGGGCGTTTCTCTGTTTCTCTTTATACACAGACTATTTTCAAGAACGTTTTCTTCTTTCTGCCTCCCCAGCCCCCTCTCGCCCCCTCTCTAGATTTTTTCTTTTTGCAGCAACTTCAAGTAAAGTTCTGGAAAGTGTTCAACTCTTGGAACATTGATAGTTAACGGAAAGTGGAACTGATTCTAAAGTGTCAGCATTTTAAGGCCATCTCGGCACGTCGTGTTTCAGTAGCACATTATGGTTATTTATCACAAATCAAAGGCAGCACATTGCACGGAGACAGATTATTCCTCAAACTAATTATGACAGTCTCACTTCCTGCTGTTTTTACGTTCCTTTTATGTGCACGTCTCCCCTCAGAAATGTGTTTTTCTTTTGTTTAACTCCATGGCACTTTCTTCTGTTAAAATTCAGGGTCAGAGGGTTCCAACTGCCAGTTACGTTCTCCGTCGAGGGAGCTGAATTAGCAGCTCGCCAAACCTCACGCCACCAAACAAAACACCTTAGGAATACAAGTACCACGGCTTCCTTTGATATTTGTTCGGAAGGAAAATTCATTTGTATAATCTATCAAGCATGTAACAATGTGCTTTTGATGGTGAAAATTGTTTTATAAATATTAATAGGTGTTTTTTTCTGTCATTTGTATACAGAATAGCCTTTGTTCAACGTGGATTTTTATGTAGAATGGAGGCTTCATTAACGTGCCGTTGAAAATCGTTGTGTCTGAACTGAGTTCAGCCCCTCCACACTATACATTTACTGTGGTCGTGCGTTGCTTTCCTGAAGAGAAGCCAAGGTTGAGGAGCAAGCCTAGGTCCTTGCTGTGCCGTTGACACTGGCACCAGCCTGCTCTTGCCCGCCACTTCTAGAAGTGCCTTTGGAAATAGCGTGTCCGAGCTGCTCCTCGGGGTTCAGGGATCCTGCTACTCTGGGGCTCCTTTGTTCCACTTTGCTTTTTCATTGTCTCGCAGGAAAAGCACTGTTTGGCCCAGTATCGCCTTCCCTATAACAAATAGGGCACTGGGGAGTTCTGTCCGTCAGTCAGTCGGTGAAGGAGGGACACACTCGGGAGCATGGTTGCTATGTGGCCGCAGTCAGCCACTTCTGCAGTTGTCTGTTGTGGGAAGGGAGGGTCAGGACATTGAGATCTGGAAGCAATGCTCTATTAGTGGCACTGCAGCCCAGAGGGATAATTCCCAAAGCCTGAGCCCCAAGAGCAACAGCGCT